CGTGTGTATCTTTTCCTGAGTGTGAAGAAGTGCCTATGTCTAAATAAGATTATTTCTTAAAATTCATTAAACAATTGGAAGTGGTTATGCTGATCGTTATATGATGTTTTGTTAGTGCAGTATTCAATTATATGATGGTGTTTAGTAAAATATCCCTAGAGCTAGTGAGCAAATCTTCGGGCTCAAAGTAAATCTGTAATTTCTGTAATATCTTTTTTTTTTTTTAAAGGTGCAGCATTTCCATTGATATATCCTCTTCCCTTGCCTGAGTCCCCTCTAATTGTCTGCCTCCACAGAGTGAAATTAAAAATAAAAGAATTATTCAAAGAAGGCACTTGTTTCTTATGTCAAGCTTTCAAATGTCAAAGTAGAGAAGCTTTTTTTCCCTCTCTGAGGGATCTAATAGTATGTGAGTGAGTTTTTGGTAATAGCTCTATTTTTTGTGCTTATCATATTCTCTGTAATTGAACCAGATGTTAAGTCTTCTCTGGAGGAGAAGAGTCTTCTCAGTTTATGTAGTACCGTATCAGTCTTGCATCCCAAAAGATTTGAGGTTAATGTGAAAATGAAATAGTAAGGCAGATGCTGTATGTAATGTTCCTGTAGGTGGGTAATCTCTTTTGGACTGAAACACTTAAAAACGTGTAACTCAGAGGCACATACTACATGTAACAAATGGTTGGATGGTAAATTGTTGTAGGATTTTTTTGACAGTCAGTCAAAATCCAGCACTTTGTATGCAATGGGATGTTTGCTGTTGTAGTAGTTCTGCAATGATGAAAATGGTTCATGAGGTCAAGGCTAAGGGCTGTGGGGACAGACTGCACTATTTGTGGGTGATGTACAGAAATGTTTTGGAGGGGAAAACCCTGAGTATGTTTCAGCTGCTTAGCTGAGCTGGTTTCTTACCCATATGTATTGATAAGTCAGTAAAGAATATGTGTAAGCTTTACTTTTGTGTTAGGATGAGGTACTGGGGAGAAGTGGGGCAGGTGTGCCTGAGTCTTCTCTTTTCTTATATCTTGGTTTCCACCAGAAAGAAGCCTGACTTCATGTGTAGGAAGGAACCATAATGTTCTGAAGTCATGCTTTCCATTTCTAAGGCCCTTACGTGTACCAAAAGACTACTAGTGCTCTTACAGGCACACGTAGAACTAACACCTCACATTATCCATGAAGTGTTGCTGCCATTTAATTACATAAAACCCCAGGATATGTAAATAGCAAATGTGTATTTCCAGAATACCATGTCTCCTATGATGTATGGTTCAGTAATTTGCCTACACAGAGATAATGGTCCTTCATAAATTCCTTGATAATTTTTTTCTTTCATGGATTGGAACCCAACCTGATTTGGTTATTTGTTTAAACACCTGAACACGTTTTTGTGCTGAATTCGTTATGCATTTTATAATTTTGATCTGTTTATACATTACTCGTAAAATGAAGAACTTGTTTTGTTGCCTTCTTTAGCATTTGTACCAATGTGTTGTGGTTAATTTTATTTCACTTGAGTCGATCAGTTTGTGGTTAAATATGTGTTGAACAGAAATTCAGAATCCAGATTTTTTGACACACTCCATCTTTTGTTGTCATATTCACCAGCTCAGAACTTGTCGTTTTCAGATGGGATGTAGAGTTGTATGGGTTTTCTTGTATGCATTTTTTCAAGTAGCAACACTTGGTGGTTGTTATTATCCAGCCATTAAACCAGAGAGTCAGCCTGTGTATAACTAAACCAGACTTGCTTCTAGTTTGATGCAAAACACTTTAAATTGTCAAGGCAGCAAAATGGATGGAGAACTGAGGAAGAAAAAGTATGTAGGGAGAAGACAAATGCTAGAGCTATTTTTCCTTTTTTTTTTTTTTTTTCTTCTTCCATAGCTAGAAATTCTTTAGAAGTGGGAGCTCTTCCAGTCATTATCATTTGGGTAGAAGAGGCGTGCAAGCATACTTAGAGTTCTACAATGGAGCCTTTTAGCAGTTTTAAAAAATTCCAGAAACTGTGTTTTAAGGTCTTTCAAAATGTGATTTGTTTACCCTTAGGTAGAAGCGAAATACTCAAGTTCTTTTGTATCCTGTTAAACAATATAGCAACTTGGAAAAAAAGGGAAAAAACATCCTTCAGTTGCAGACAAGGGAGATGTTTAGTTGAGGGACCGAAGGCAGTTCAGAATTTTTCAGAGCTAAAGAACTTAGCTTCTTGCCAAAACTCTTGCTCTTCCCAGAGAGTTTGTCTGTGCAGCTTAGCATCCCTTCCTGAGCCCTGTTTCATGCTCACTGCACAGGTGAAACTACTGTGGACAGAGTGAATTTTGTGAAGTCCAGTCCCTGTAGGGGTCACAGCACTCAGATTGAGGCGGTGCTGTCTGAATGCTGGTTTTACCAAGTGACACACAAGGGCATTCTGTTGACTTCCCCCTACACTGAAAGGATGTTAGAGCTGAAAATTTGCTATGGTACAATGTGAGGGAGTTAAGGGATTTATTAAAAAGAAATCCCAGCAATCCAAACAATACTCTCAAGTAGTTAAACCAGAACTTCTAATGGCACCAATACAGTGGTTTGTTTCCTGTTTCCTCTTAGGGCAATATTACCATTCCAAAATATGAGCCACAGCAAAACTTCTATTAGTTTTTGTCTATCATATGATATTCGGATTTATACTTATCCTTTTGCTAGATTAATTTTAGTGGATATATTTATTTAACTATATTATGCTTGCAAGAGTCTCCTGGTACATTAGACTTGTAAATGCTATCAGGTAAAGTAGTTACGTGTAATTAATATTTTTAAAGAGTAATGGCATCAAAATGCAAATAGATAACAGGAAACCAGCTGTAAACTCTATCCTCAGCTTTCTTTCAGTGTCCTGCAAACTTGCCATTTAAATAACTACTTTCAGGTAAAGAAGCTAGCACAGGAATAAAAGGTCACAAAAGTAAACTTTATCCTGCTTTTGATAGTTGAAATTGTTGTTCATTTTTGGTTCCAAGTGATTCACACCAGCTGTGCCCATACTGAGAAGGGTACAAGTTTAATGGAAGTGAATCTGTCTGGGTCTGACTTTAATGAACCAGTTACTGTTTCAGAGTAGATTATTTTTGAAATTTGTGATTAAGAATCATGATTAATGCTGTTGCAGCCTGTGTTCTACCTTATGCTTCTGACTTTAGAACCCAAGAAATTTCATATTGCTATTAGAACATTAGCCTTGTTTGAACTCAAAAATTATTGTCATTAATGATTTCATTTTAATAACAAGAAAGGTTAGATTTTTTGATAACCTGACATGTTCTTATCAGGGTGTAATAAGTTTTTCAGTTCTTTTATGTGTGAACCTCTGACTTTTATCATATTTAAATATGTCCACAGTAGTTTCTTGGAATATGTCTGCAGAAGTGATAATAGAAGAATAAACAAACCAGATTGCAGTTTGGCATTATGTAATATAAGTTACCTTTAATACTAAAACTTAAACATGTAGGCCATACTAGCCAAGTGTGATGGATTTTCCTCAGTATTTCAGGGGTTTGTTGGAGAGCACTGAGCTCATGGCACTTTGCCCTGAATATCCAGCATTCTCAGCTGACCCAAAGCAGATATTTTCAGCATAAATCTTTGTCAGCCAGGACTTCTAGCATCCTTTGCTTGAAGGTAACCAGTCATGCCTGGCATTCCTAACTTCTTACTTACGAATCCAAAAGCCTTTGAAATCCAGTTTAAGGATCGCTCAGCAACCAGATCTGCATCATATAGCTTGGCAAATATTTGTCTGTCCTAGAAAAAAGAAACCCTAGCTGAGCACGCTGGGACAATCTCACTTGGAGTCAGAGAGTGCTGCCCAGTTCTGTGCAGCCAGTGGTGTAAAATCAGTAAGAGAGTACGGGTGAGTCCAGTGTTTATTTGGTTTAGACTTCACAGATGAAAGGCAACGCTTCAGTGTTAGACAGGCATGAGATTTTTGTAGGGCTTTCAGTGTTTCCTAGTAGAAGGCTGATCGCATCTTGTGTCCCTAGAACTGCTGTTCAAGTGTGTTTTCTCATAACTTTGAGAACATTTCTAGCATGCATTTCATACATGCCTTTTTGTTCTGGACAACTTACTGATTTAAACCTGTAATTAGCAGAGCTAGAGTTTTCATGTTATTCTTATTAGCAACGAATCTACATTTCATGTACTTGTAATTGTACTTTTTGATTCTTCATTTTCATAAAAATACTGTTTGTTAGCAAAAATAATCAAGAGAGCTCTAGGAACTCCAGGGAGAGCTCTAGGAAGACAATCTTGCTTAGAAGCTAAAAGCAGTTTTTATCTTTACCCAAGAATTAGGAGTTTGGAAAGGAGAAGTCAGCTTACCAACTACCCATTGTATGGGACTTGCTTTTCTGGGTATTCTGTGGGATTGTGTTTTGGGGTATTTTTCCCCTTACTGCTTATTGTGAAGATCTACAGGATTTGAAGCTGCTTTGAGAATTTCTTTGCTCTAGGCCTTTGATGCAGTCCTTCGATCTTGTGTGAATAACAATAACTTTGTAGAAGCCATTAAAAAAAAAAAAACCTAGCAAAAGTAAAAGGAGAACATTGTAAAGTGCAGAGTAACTACAACTCCAATCTTGTACAAGTGATACTTTAAAGAAAAAAATCCAAGTCCTTCATGTGTTGGAGGATAAGACATTTTTGAAACCTGTTCAGTTTGAGTGGTCTGTTTAATCTCCATGAGCTTCTTGCCAAGCAGTCATATTGGAACACTGCTGAAAAGAGAAATGTTAAGCTCCAGACGTTTGATATACTTCAAATAATTTTTTGACAAGAGCTAAATTTGCTGTGTGTTCTCACAGTATTTAGAAAAATAACTTCATTTATCACGGTAAAGTTTCAGTATTTGCATTGAATAAACTGAGTATGGCTACTGCCATATTATGAGGGTTCCTCTGTAATAACGTGAACCACTTATGTATGTACATATTTATTTGTTTGTTTATTTATTCTTTTCACAGACACTTCCTTTGGGGCTGGGAGATGGACAGCTCTTTACCTGGACTGATGGCTTGAAAAGGAAGGACTGGCATGATTATGAAAGCATTCAAAAAGATGCTATGCGTTCAGGTATACATGAGTTCAGAACAAATTGAAGTGGCTTGTTTACTCATTATTTCTCTCACTGTTTGTTCTTTGAGTCCTAGAGGAGGCATTCCTAACAGCTTTTTTTTGATTGCAGCACTGTCACAAGGTCATCATGTTCTGAATTAAGAGGTCAGACCAAGCACAAATAGCTTATCTCTGAAGGTAGCCAAGTGACAATGTGTTCCCTGCTAGTAACCATATAATGATTGTACAGCCAGCAAAAATGTTATCAACAAATTATTTTCCCTGTTGAAGTCAGTTTTCAGACTTTGACCAGAGTGTTGGTTTGCAAAAGGACATGTTACAAATAAAGCCAAATCATCCTTAAGTCGATGAACAAAACCCGAGTTGAATACCTGTAGCTGCCAAGAACCTTTGACACTTCTACCAGTCGATCCTTTAGTCTTGTTAAGCAACTTCATCTCATTCTGACAGTCTACAATTATTTGAAAATGGGAGAAAATTGTGTTTGCAAATAGACTGAAGGACACTTTGTTACAGTGAGTAACGTAATTTTAATGTACCTTCACGTGCTGTATCCCATGCGTGCAGAGAGTATGGTTTGTGCTCCTCTTTCTGTCATCAGAGCATGTTCAGATTTGAACTCTTCTTTTACAACATAATATACAACTATTCAACATAAGATGAATTAAATTAGAAGGAAGGAAGAGAAACAGCAGTTGAATTACGCCTTAATCAGTGTTTGAAAGTCATTCTTTTACAAAGGCCAATCTACTATTGTAAAAGAAATTATGCTGTCTTGATCCCACTGTCTTGAGACAGCCAAAACCTCCCCCAAAATATCTCTATAACTGAATCTCGTTGACAGATTCATAAGACTTGGTAAGTACTTAATTTTACAGGAGCCTGAGCTAGTAAAATATTGCAAGTGTATGTTAATTTTTTAAGCTATTTTTCTCTTTCACTTTTGAATCTTGATCACTAACTAAAGAAATTATCCTTTCCTCCCACATGTGTTTAGGAGGTAAAAAAGGTAGGGAGGAGAAGCAAATTATTCTTGGCAATTTGGTAGTTGTCAGATCAGTACTTGCTGTGTTCCAAATTGCTACATGTGAAATGGCAAATATGTAAGAGAGAATGTACAAAGTAAAAGCAGCATGTATGGGGAAACTTGCATATATGTAGGGAATATCATTGCTGGTTAGAATGGACATGCATGGATGCTTTGGCAATGTGCTTTAATTTCTAAATATGTAATGTGGACCCCATATGTTTTGGACAATAACAGTAATACTTATGATTGTCTGATGGCTAGCTTAAGGTGTTGCCAGTGTAATGCAAGCCATTGCATGGTGTTGGCTGAGAAACTAAAAAAACGTTATGTAGCTTTGTAATTCCCAGTCCTAAACCTAACATGACTGTAGTAGCATGTGAATATTAAGATATTCTGACTTATTTACATTTTTTTATTTTACCATTTGTTGAGTTTGATATTTGAGAGCTATCTTTTAAATAATTTATATTTGTCATAATTATTCAATAGATTGAAATACCTTTTAATGCTCTTTTCTTTGAAAATCACAATATGGTAATAGAAATGCAAAGCTAGAGCATCTCAGTGCACTCTTTTGGGACATACTATGTAATTTTTCTTCCTAATGACATTAGCTGAAATTATTAGATGAAACAGTTACTATTAATTAATTAAATAGTTTTAAGTATTAAGTAAATAGTTTTAAGTTTAAGTATTAAGTAAATAGTTAACTATTAGTTAAAAATCTATCTGAAGATATGATGTGAAAGGGCTTCTCAGGACATTTCAGGAAAGGCAGTCAATGCTTGTTGTACAGAAAAGAAGAAAGGAGTGAAGTATTTTTTTAATTCAGTCTAGCTGTTTATCTGTAAAGTTTACGATTTCCGAAGCACTGAGAATGTGAATTTCATAATTTCTATTTATGGAGAGGTACTAATTTCTTCATGACTGCTACTGTTTCATGGACAAATATTTTGATCCCTCCCCATTCCACAATTAAAACCCATGTTTCTGAATTTGATCTTCCCTCTTGACGTCAGGAGTAAACCCTTTTGCAAGACGTGCAGAAGAAAAAGGAATTATTTCTGTTTATTTTAAGTGTTTGTTAGTTCACATTTTGTTAGCATGGTGGTACTAATTGGGAAGGTACTTGAGGGGAAAGATGGAGAGGAAGGCTGTACACATAGCAAGAACTTAATTTAAAAGCACTTTTGGAAGTCTTTGTAAAGACTTACAAACCAGTTCTAACAATATTAGTTGGTTAATCTTGGTAGAAAAATTCAAGATGACAGGGAAATGCTGTTGTGTTGCAGAAGGACTAATTGTTACACTGTTGGTGGGACAGGGAAGTTACCTATTTAGTTGCCAGTTATCCAAGCTCTGATTTATGCAATGTCGAAAATTCCTTTCCTATATAATGACTCAAATATATTTCTTATAATCTTATCAGTACAGAATAGATGTAATGAAATGAAAATTAAGTTGTTCCGTCAACCCAATCACTTCCATTCTTCTCTGAATATTACTCTGTCATTAGCTCAAAACCAGAGACTGAAATATAGCAAAAGAAAAGCAAAAGTTAACCTTAAAAAAAAGAGTAATTCTTGAAACAGTTGTGATAGATACTTCAGAATGAAGGAAAAGAAAGAAGTTTAATTGCTTCCATTTTCTAAAGTGAGCCATTAAGTCAGTCAGGTATTACAATGGAGTGGGAGGGAACAAAATAAGCTAATCAGAGAAACTGACTTTATTGGAGTTTATAAGTCATGCTAGCTTTTTGACAAGAAATCAGAATTTAAAATAAGACCTAAGACCTGTTTCTATTAATTTCTTTTCCTGTGGGAATACGACTGATGACATGCCTTGATGAATAATATGCTTAATTTGCATTAAAAATATGAGAACTGTAAACAAATGCAAATCCTACATCAGTCAGTTTTTGTTTTGGTGAGTAATAAACAATGTCTTCTGTATATCGGAAGAATGGTCTTGCTTTGGGTTAGAGTGGTGCATGAGCGCAGCCTGTGTAGCAATGACCCAGGTAGCTCCTGGGGTGTGTGTTAGCCCAGCTACAGCAGTGCCTGCTGGATCAGGGCACTGGGAATCTACTGTGTCTCTACAGAGGGCAAAGATCCTGCGTGCTGAGCTTTGCCATGAATCTGTTACTGTAGTTGACATTTCTTTGTTTTATCAGGGACTTCCCTACTTCAGTTGTATAGGGAGGACTCTAGGGACATTGCCACCAAGATATCATTTCAGGGTCATGGAAGCTGCTGTGTCTGATAGGTCTGGTTTTCCGTGGTTTCTGTGCAGAACTAGGGGTCTGAGATCCCTCAGTGCTCCCATGAGGGATGAGAGTCACAGGAGAGAGACATGAAAGCCTAAGGTATTCAGAAGCATCCATGAGAAGACATGATGTTAGTTTCACTTCTATCTTTATGTCCTGGGTAGTGAGAATGAAAGTCCTCAAGAATCAGTCTATGTCATGGTTCCTCCATTTCTGAAAGTTATTTCATCTGTTTCGCTCAAGAAATTCTCATCTTTATCATCAATTATGAGTAGTAGCAGTAATGATGAATTGCAGCTCTTCTCAGGCAAGAGGAGGGATTCATATGTGTGATTCCTGGGCTTTTAAAGAAGTGCAGATTGAATGTTTATGTTCAAATATGGTGCTGTTTCTGATCATGACAATTTGTTTCTAACTACTCGTGATAATTTTTCCAATGTAAGGTGCTACAAAAGAGTAACAGATTAAAGAGCAAAAGGGAAAAAAAATAGGGTTTTATTCCTGAAAGCATGCAATCAATTCTATCAGTGATATTAATAGCTGATAAGATGTACTTAGACTATAAACTGCAAGTGAGTTTTGTTTTCAGTTTTTATTCTTTAAATACAGTCTTTGATTTTTTCCTTTATAATGCTTTGGAGGTATTTTTGTCTGATTGCATGTGTATACTGAAATGATTACATTCTATGAGGTGGACTGAAAATTTAGTGTAATAAACTAATTTCTAAGGGAATGTAATATATAAGAAGCTATGTTAATATAAATAAAAACCTTTTTCGTCAAAAGGAATGCGCTAAGGAATAGAGTAAGTGGCTGTCAATATTTTTATGTTTGACTGTTGAGCCATTTTGGCTTGTCTGCTTATAAGATCTCGAAGGAAAAAACCTTTTAGAAAGTACTCTCGTCTATTTAGAAAGCTCGTGTCTATTCCACCAGTTACTGAGCCATTTGCAGTCTTTGTTCCTCCTATTTGTACATTTGAATAGCATGTGGAAGCTTTGTGGGGAGGGAAGGAATGAAGGTTGTAATTCTTTCCTGTATTCAGTATTGTCTTTACCTTTCTGCTTCTTCAAAATGTTACCTTGACTGGGAAAAGAGGATTTTAAAGATCTTGACCTTTCCATGCCTCAGTGCAGGCCTTTCATAGAGATTAGTTCTATAAACAAACAGACAGTATGTTCTATAGTTCAACAAACATTCTTACAGATTAGTTTTATAAACAAGCTAAGCAGAGATGTTGAAAAATAAGTGACCTGTACATGTTTGGGATGACAGTAGAAATAGATTGGAGCTCTGTATTCTTGGCATAGAATGTCAGAAGGCAAAAGACATGAGCACCTTCGTACAGCAATAACGGGTCGGGAAAAGCTGAATTATGACTTCAGTGTCACTTAAATTGTGCACTGATGATCCTTTTCCATCACTTCTTCTCAAATATTTGGTTAATCAGTATAAAAATTTTGAATAGTGCCCATTCTTAAATTCTAAAGAACTTTTCAGGCCTAGTTCCAGAGTGTTTCTAGAAGATATGAGGCAGAATGATACAGAAAGCAACATTAATTGCAATTTCCTATTTGGTATGAAAAAATTAGCTCTGTGATACTTACATAGATACATGTAATAAAATTTGTGCAAGAAAATAAATGTATACTGAAATACTGATTTACTTATCCCATATTTCATATGGAATTATGCGCTGGA